TCCCTGAGAAGTCATATGCTAGGACAGAAGATCCGTCCACTATTCCATACTTTTTCATGAATGTTTAACTTATATCGGTTTGTGATATTAATAAAATAACACGTTTCTCAAAAAGATTAATTATTTTAGATTTAATCATAAATATATTGGATATACTGCAAAGGTAACACATTCAGTGATTAGTGACGCGATACTAAACTAAGCGATACAATATACTAACATTGTAATAATATTACAACGATTAACTGGATTTCATGTATGTGAACAATCATAAGTGATTGGAAACTAACAGCTCTGTAGTAAAAGCTGTATGTTTGATAGCTGGAATCTAATATAAAAGATGGATGAAAAAGTCTTCAATGTAAGTCTAACTAAATTCAACACGAAATTACGAATAGAATCCACTATTTGCCTAGCTTTGCTAAATAAATGTATATGCGATTACAATATATATGGTTAGACAAGAATCAATAAGCACCTACTCATTAGCAGTGTGATTGCCAAAACCGCATAAGATCGAACTTAGTACGTTCAGGTCTCTCTTTACACAACCTCTAAACATCTACACCACTTAGCATCCTGCATCCTATAGTTAAAATCTACTGGTCAAAACAGTTACCCACCGATGACATTGTAAGATGACTGTGCAATATCATGAATTGAATGAAGTTAGAAATATGAACCATCGGATGGTAACTTAGCGATCTAAATCCAAGTGTCTGCTGCGAGGTCAGGAAGCACTGGGTTCTATCCCCCCCCTATCGTGGCATCTTGGATGCTGAGCAGTAGTCGTCCTATACCAGAAAAAATAGCTATCCCGCGCTCCCTGGTTTTTAACAGTTAATCAGTTAGCTATAGTCATGCTATCATGTAGACAATAAAAATGTTTTTTTTTTATTAATAATACAACATTACTACTGATGAATTTACGTTCACATACTGGACTGATATTACGTTGAATTTGAAATGTTTTAATTAGCTCCATTACAACATCTGCATGTCGACCTTCATTTGATAATTGAACCAAGTGATCAAAAGATGAAACATCTTTTAACTTCACTAACAAATGATTCATATATTCTAAATGAAGAAAAAAGATACAATGTGTATATAGTAATTGTATACTTTCAAATGAAACTAAAGTATTGATTGGACTTTTTTATAAAACTCAAAGAATAATCTCGGACAGTTGGTTAATCAGACATTCAGCTGGTCAAGATTACTGAATAACGTACGGAGTGGTGAAGTGAAATGTGAGATGATGGAGAAAATTTGTAGCTCAGATGGATGATTGTGATGGAGTTTCTTTCTCTGAGCTGGGTGTTTTGGTTGTTCTTCTGAACAAATAACGCCATCAACACAAACTTCAAATAAAAGTGAAGTATTTGAATTTCTTCACATATGACTCGTAGGTTATTGTGTTGACCTCGATCGTGATTGGTTGTTATTGACCTTAAACCTGTCGTCGCTTGCACCGCTATTTCGATTGTATCCTCCTTTAGATCTGTTTTCTGATCCTATGTTTGCCTATGATTTTTCTGAATGGTTGATAAATTGGGTCAATTTCGAAGTGCTTGTTAATAGTTGACTTGAGTGCCTATCTTCTAAAAATTCTTTGGTGTTCTTTATAAACCCTCTAACAAGTGTTTCAAAATTGCTCCAATCGAATGTACGTCCATAGTCTGACGCCATGATATTGCTTAGAGAGCGTAACTCCATCACAAAGTGAAATGACCTACAGCTTCCTATATTTTAATGATCGTCTAATCAATAAAAATCTGTTAGAGCATTCTTGAAAGTAATCAATAGAACAAGATGATGTTGAAAAATTCAAATACGAGTGAATATGACCAGAGCTCTACCATGTAGGTAGATGCGGTTAACAATAAAAAAGGTGGAATGAATGTCATTTATCCGAGCGATTAGTTTGCAGTCATCCATAACTGGACACTTGACAGTTTAATGTGCTGATTAGGTGTCGATTGCTCTACAACAACTAAACATCACAACTAGTGAGCAACCAAACATATAGATAACCTACAAAAGTTCTACAGTATGGTAGGATTCTATTAATTGAGAGTTGAGTAATCAAGAGCAGATGTGTACTTAGATTTTACTATAAAAGTTAATGAATTATTGAGGATCACAGAACAATTTACAGTCGGATAGTAATTCTATCTTCGTAAATCACGTGAAGAGTATAGTTGCAAACTAACAAGCCGCAGGTTCAAAACTCTCTCTATCCCACATATATATTGTATATCATCCAAACATATTATTTAGATAGAAAATAAAAGGACGAACTTTGTCATGTTTTGATGAAATATTGATAACTTGAAAAGAACTTCCACACCCGTCATCATTACAGTTCTAATTTGTAATGATTTGGATTAACCTAATTATTAATCATTTTGACTGAATTTTCGACCGGTCCTAAACCTTAAATAGAACGAAATATGCACCCTGGTTTCCACTGCCAGCCATGAGGTTACATCTTATTCTTCATAAACTGTCATCATGGCAGTTACATATTACACATTAACTTATTTATGATTAATATTTCTAAAATAAAATAAATTTTATTTTGTAATCAAAATAGAATAATAATAATAATAATAATAATAATACTATTAGATAATTGAATAGAAATGCTTACCAATTGTTAAATCACCATGATGAACACTATATGATCGATTAACAATTATTTTATGTTCTACAATAAGTTTCTTTAGCTAAAACAACAATAACAAAAGTAATTATCATGTAAATACCAAGAAAATCAGTGAAACATTATGGTAGTGTGATGTATGTGAAAGTGCCGTATTAGATACAAATACAATGAAACACTGTATACATGTTAATCTAACTATACATGAACACATTTCAGCGAACTTCGGTTATAATTATTGGATGAGACTTGTTTCAAGTTATATTTACATATGTATATTAATACATTTGTAATAATAACCAGATTATATCTGTGTTCATTACATAACTCAGAAATTCAAATAAGAAATCAGTGTAGATAAAGTGTAAGCATGAAACGAACATATTCTCATCATTTAAAGCTACCATATACATAAATAATTAACTAAATATTAACATGACGTAACACAGATATACCTATTAAAGTAAGAACTAAATAGTTAAACTATGTATATCTTCATTGGATCAATGAACACACTAAACTATTTAAAAACGCACATCACACAATTTTAATATTGAGAATAAAAAGTAAATTGGCCAGTAGTTGGATGACATCATTGATTTGCTTTATACTTTTTGATTTAAAACTGTTTCAAATGTAGACATCAATAAATCAATGCGGTTTTGAATGGATTGATACTGATAATGGAATAAATATAATATCTCTTTACAGTTGTTTCTTAAGTTTGTATGATGAAACGTTTGAAAACCATTTTGTTAAATATGTTTTTTAGATACGTTTTAAGGTATCTCTCTATACACGATGGATTTGGCCCGACCGTAACTGCTACCTTGATGTGGTTGTCAGGCTTGCCTATCGTGCTGACCCAACCGAGCGATATTGGTTGGAACATATATTCCTGTAGGTTGTACCATGCCAGGCAGGTCTATTGGAGAACGATGAGACTAAAAGCAGCTACTCAAGGTCTGAGGGCGAAGTGGTATTGCTGACTACTGTAAAAGGGTGTGGCAGCAGTAAGGTGTTTCTCTCAGATAACCAGCATCTGCAGCGATGCTGCCTTCTCATAAGGAGGGGGGTTAGAAAAGGTCGACTCTAAAAATGTCACACCTCACCTTACCTTGTGGATTTCCGTCTCCGGTGGTAAGGGATTTTAAACAAGAGTGGAGTTAATACTTTAAAAAGTTCTCATAAAAAGGCCGGTTGCGGTATGGCAACCTGAATTTATGTACTCATGTACGAAGTTATACGTTGTAACTGACTGATTGACCGACTGACGATGGATTTGATGAAAAAATATTATGCTTCTCATGTGTTTGTAGGCCACAAGCACTAGCATCACTACTGAATTGATGTAGTCACAATCGAGTTGATAGATGATCAAAAATAAGAAAATTATTGTACAGACAAATTTAGAGAATAACTTACAGCAAGCACACACTCTTTCATTTCAGCGTAATCACGACGTTGTGAACTCATTAAATAATGCATCCATAATACTACAATAATACAAAAAGAAACCACAAATCAATCTTAAAAACAATACCGTTTTAAACCAAGAAGCTTATAGTTTAGTTACGGAAAATAAAATATGATTGGCCAGATAAGCATATGACATTGTTACGCATGCAGGTAAACATGTCAATTTGATATGCTTGAACTATTACGAGTTTACATTAGTCAGAAAACGAGAGCGAGAATCCGGTGACACGACATGCTACTCTAATTCAGTGGTCATAAAACCCCCATTAAGTAACAGAAGAAGACTTGATATAAAATAGAACATGTATTCTACAAGCATCCAGAAAGTACGAGTTCCGAGTCCAGAAGAGAATTAGGATCCCGTACTAGGGATCGAAGTCTGTGACATTGACAGTTAAGGCGACCAATAGGAAAAAACATTTGAAGTGATATGGATAGTCACGACGACCAATAAGAAACAAAATTGAAGTGCGTGACATATCTAGAACGATTATAGTATTGACCAATAGGAATCGACCAATAGAATTTATGCTTACAAAATGATTCTTCGTACAATATTTGGTAAAATATCCTAACAAATATACCCACAAGACTCTTGAGAAGTGGATGTTGCATAGCAAATTCTCAGGCAGATTCATTGAATCAACAGTGAAAATATGATTTAATTGATAATCGCAATCATTATTATTTATAACAATTAAGTACACTATTAACATGGATAAATAAATTTACATTGAGTGGATATGATGACCATGTAGTGAGTGTATTTACTATTTTGTAATAAACTATAAATAAAATACACACACAATGTTCAACATTCAATACTTTGAAAACTTTTAACTGAATTCACAAATTTGAATTTCTATATCATTTTTTGGTCATTGCACTCTTCGCAGTGGGTGTGGTTGATTTTCATATCAGTTAAAAACGCTTATCCCCCATTGATCGCTGAGTAAATAAATTCACAAACATTACCCATTTATTCGAATGAATCTCTTTTGTTACCTGGAAATAAATCTTGTTTTCTAATATCTATTGAATTAATGCAGGTTAGAAGATGTGTAGCAGCAGCCTCTGCAGAAGTAGGTCTCAGCATACATAAAGAGAAAAGCGAAATTCTCCGATGCAACACAACATGCACCAACCAAATCACTCTTCATGGAGTTTTTTTAGATGACGTTAACACCTTTACATATCTGGGCAGCATCATCGACAACCAAGGTGGATCTGATACAGATGTGAGAACGCGGATCGGCAAAGCAAGGGCTACATTTCTACAATTGAAAAATATCTGGAACTCCAAACAAATACCAATCAACACCAAAATCAGGATTTCCAATAAAAATGTCAAGACAGTTCTACTGTATGAAGCGGAAGATACAAGTGTTTATGAACAGTTGTCTACGCAAAATACTTCGGATTCGTTGGCCAGACACCATCAGCAACAACGTACTGTGGGAGAGAACAAACCAGATTCCAGTGGAGCAGGAAATCAGGAAGAAAAGGTGGAAGTGGATAGTACACACACTGCGAAAAGCAACGAACTGCTTCACAAAACAAGCCCTCACATGGAACCCTCAATGACAAAGGAAAAGAGGAAGGCCAAGGAACACATTACGCAGAGAAATAGAGAAAGGTATGAGAAGAATGGAAAAAAATTTGACAGAACTAGAAAGGGAAACCCGTGACAGAGTTGTCTGGAGAAAACTGTTGGGCGTCCTATGCTCCATTGGGGGTAACAGGCGTAAGTAAATAGTAAGTAAGGTTAGAAGATATTGGTCTTTAGATGTCAGAATCGAAGCTCTCAATTATTGGCGTCTAGACCAGTATGTATCAATAATGATAATAATAATAATAAAACAAAGGTTTAATATAAACATACTAGCACTTACAGTGGCTCATAATAATGGGATAATCTGATGATGTCTCTTCAAATCCCGCAAGTACGTCGTTTAACACAGCGAATAGTGGTGTTGGAATTTCAGTTGGTCTTGAGATTCTTGAAGTTTAAAAAGTAAAATGGTAATACTAATAATCATGATAAAATTACTTTCCTCATTTAAATTCACTTAAAAGAACAATAAGATTAATGCAACTCAGGAAAACAAACATCCTAACCGATTGTATAAAAGAATGGTACAGGAAAAAAGTGTCGTGCCAATCAAAAATTATTAACATGGCTTTTGTGCAACAGGAACCGTAAAATAGTGCACATAGGGAATTGAATGCTGGTTTGAAAAACTTTACTCAGTTATTGAATGAATGCTAACTTTCATAATTTAGAGAAGATTTAGATATAAGTGATACAAGCAAAGTGGAAAGTTTATTGCAACTCCGACACCTTAGGAGTACAGTTTTTCATCAGGCTTAAGTGAGAGTAAAAATGGCCTGTAGAATTCACTTATTACGGTTTAAGAAGTGTTGTGTAATAAATAGGAAAGTACTCTTCATTGACATCATGTCAGTTGAACGAATAAATGAAGCAAGAGGGCACTAAACAGTTGCATCATCCAGGCTCAAAATTCTTTAGCGAACATAATCAGGGCCCTACCAGACATTGAACCCAGGACCTTCAGAGTTTTTGGCGAATATATTACTTGTACAGAAATGTGCTGGTATCCAGTGGCTGGCATTAACAACCGTATTCAGTTAGTCGCAATGTACAGACGTCATTATCTTGTCTTTAAAAGAAGAATTTCTGAAGTACTGACAAGAAACAATCAATGATAGAGGTCAGTTACGTGAGGACTGAGACAATTAGCATCGATATCTAAAAAGTCATCTAGCCTAAATTAATCTGTACTGTTATTTATCTTCAAATTGAACCAACCTATTTCAAAGCGTCAATACATATCAAAATTGAGTAACAACAACCAACATTCAGTTGTTAGATTATATATAGTGTTACTTTGAATACATATTTTTAAATTAGCAAAAGACACTTTTCCAACTGTGGGTTTTTTTTTGCCAAATTCACAATTGAAAAATATGGGAAAAAACCAAAATCAATGATGCCAAATGCATAATAATCTTACTTTTCTTTCGATTTCGATGAATTATGACTGATTGACTCTAATTCTTCTAAATATAATTCTACATAGGTTATGTAGAAAAATGCTAAATGATTTAATTCCGGAGCTATTTTTAATGCTAAAACATTTTTAGGTAATAGACAAGTTTCGGGGTGGATTTCATCTTGATGCATAACTGGTTCCAGTAGTAGTGATGATGACGGAGTTGATGAAGGTGGAATTGTTAAGAAATACGGAAAAGATGGTTGAAGACGATCAAATAAACTTAGATAGGCAGTTGCAAGTTCTAAAGTCCTATAAATAAACCAAGAAAGCAGTATATGTCAATGGTAACTAAATTGAAATAAATTTTTTAAACTAACAAAATTATTAAATCACTGTGTGTTATGGAGTTGTGTTGAAAAGAATACAGGTTAATTGCTGATGCGAATGCATATATAAATTGGGAAGTGATTCATTACATAACGAAGGAACAAGTATGCAACAATACTCAAGCCCATACAAAATATAAAAAGAAAGATAATTTTTCCAACTATTTATATGATCATGGAATACATAATAAAATAATTTATTCGGAGAGATTGAAAAGCTTGATCAACTAAAAATGTGCTAACTAGTGACTAGGTTCGAGTGCGAAGCCGTGGCCAGTGGAGTTCAACCTGTTGGGTATATGTAGTTACCTACATAGGTGAAGTGGCACAAAATACCTAAACTGGTCAGAGTTAGACATTAACACCGTTGTATGCCGACCCAGTGGTTTAGAGGTTAGGCGTTCACGCGCAAAACCGGTCCTGAATTCGAATCCTGCGAGTAGCAAGAGTCGTGGATGTGCAGTGCTGGTGAGTCGTGTACCACGATGAAACGACCATCCAATGCTTACAGGTTTTTAATGGTGATCTAACAATCATCGATTCATGATTTCAACGAAGTCAGAAACTCTTAAAAAGGTGGGTTTATATTTTTAAAATCATAGATCAACTGAGCACGAAAAGTTATTTTTCGTAATATTATCAATACTAACATATGACAAGTCGAGTAAATACAATACACAGACGAGAAAGTTGACCAATGAACTGGTAGTCTGTTAGTCATTAACAGAATTCAGCCGCCAACCGTCTTTTACCAAGCCCAGTACTTACGACTGTGTACCAACTTTTTCACTTAGCTTTCAGTTACACTCTAAGTGAGAGGACCAACGATAACTTCTCGACTGACAGGTTGAAGTAGATAAAGAGGGGTTTAAACCCATGACTTAATGGTTGAAAGTCATGTAGTGCTTAGTACCATCATTTACTTGCATGATATATCCAAGATTTTGGACAGACTTTAGTAATACGAACAGCATGAGATTATTGAGTAATCTTGATCATTTTATTAACCCCATACCTATCATAGGAGATTGTGACCTTCAGCACATATACGTCTTATTATTTAAATCATTGAAGTTCTACACTTATTAACTTTGTGGTTATTTTCCATTAAAATCAAGGGTATGTCTGTTCACTCACTCTTTTGTCTAATACCTGTCTCTTTGTCATATACATGTTATTTAGTTTCAGATATCTTGTCGCTTGTAATCAATAGTATAGTGGAGTTGGCACGCCTGCCTTCTTCGCTTCGATTTGTTTTTGTGCTCATTTTTGATGCCTACCTACGTAAACGATTGCAAGAAATAAACTCATTCAGCTCAATTAGTAATCAGCTTCTCATTACCACCATCGCACAAAACGATCAACCCGAAATGTAATATACGGAATTAAATGGAAGATTTATTATTCGCACAGCATATTAGACTATTCGTCCAAATTGGAGTCAGATCTCGGGGCACTAAAGTTGAACCCATTGCTTCCCATTGTATATTAACAAGGTCAACAACCAAACAAAACTATTCTACATATTTCAATTATTCAATAAAAATGATCTTCATAATAAGCGATCTAATATGTTCAACATAATTAGTAGCACATACGAAACAAGAAAAATGCATACCAGCGGTATCCGGAAAGGCGACTAATTTGTAAAAGCAACGATATACCAAATGTAATAATATTTGGCTTCATATTATTCAAAAGAATTAAGAACTCATAAACCGATTTTCCATTCCACATATTTGACAAATTTGATGTAACTGTAACAGGAAAATAATTTTTAAAAAAAACGATAAGTCAATAGCATTTGAGGTCTGCAAAAGCTGTAAGTCAGTAAGTAGTCGATCCATAAGTGAAAACCACAATACAGGATGTCATGCACCCTTCTAAACTGAAGCTTCAAAATAGGAGTATACAACCATAACTCCTTTAAGAGTACAACCGAGGACCCGAAAGAACAGTATTTAAGTTGTTATAATTTCAGTAATGAAATCTCACCGTGTGTTAAATTCTCGTTTATGACTATACTACTTTTCAGTAGTCAGGGTTCATCTTTTTCGCTCATCGATTGAAAGGTTTGGCAAATTAATTACAATTTACTCTAAAACTACATTTATATTATTTGTATGTAATATATATGAATATTTCCGAGTAACGAAGACAGTCATCTGACTTAAACAGACCTCGTGAGTATAATTCAAGTGCATTCAACCGCTATTCTAGAGAATCTGACACCGTGATTAGAATGGTACCGCTTGTGGCATTAATAAGAGGATCATGAAAATTCTGTGATACATACCAATGATGGACAACAATAGTTTGAAAGTAATTGCAACCAAGTGATAGTATCTCCTAATCAGATTAACAGAATGACACAAAAAACTAGTGTATAACCTCACAAATTCATTCAGCTTGATAAGTGAAAACAATCTTAGTGTACAGTTTCTGAGTTCGCTTCGACACTAACAGTGTTCATATAACGAGTATGTGGTTGTCAGTTATATGCTATATGGTCAGTGATATAATAAGGATTATTTATTAATAACTTGCTCCTTGATTAAACTAAATGATCACTCGTTAAAATAATTGAACATTGGAAAATATAATTGATCAATTGATTCACTTAACTTTGATTTCAATAGTTTAAGGTTTATAATTTCAATTTTCAAAACAATAATGAATAAATACCAGTAAAATTGTATAATTACGAATAAACGCTTATCTAATTAATAACTTCTCAAAACTATAAAAAATCAATTGAATTTATCATTCGATAAAAAAAATACCTTAATATTAACAGAATAGAAATAAATTACAAATTGAAGAAAAACTAACCAGATTCTGAACAATTGGATGAGATTTCAGTTGGTGATTCAGTGCATGGAATAGGTGTTTCTGTTGTTTCGTGTAGTTCTTTCGACATTTTATGTTTCTGATCGAAAGCGCCAAGATCTCTGAATTAAGAAGGTAGTATTGAAAATGTATGCATGAAAACGATTGACACGAGTAAAGCATACGTAAAGTACAATGAAGTTTTTCATATACTAGACTTTAAACACTATTAAAAGGCAAGACTAAGTAATTCTAGGAAATTAATAACTGCGCACCATGATCTTATCAATCCAAAAACCTTAAATAAATAGTTGAAAGAAATCGGTCCTATATCAAGCTCAAGTCCGATTACTATGCTCGTCACTAAGTAGGCTTGAAACTATTACGGGTTCACCTTAGTCGATAAACGAGAACGATACAATGAACCAACGTCCAGGTAGGCTACTGTGATCCCTTGACCAAATTGTATCAAGAAGTCTTGATATAGAGTAGAAATTGCATTCTACAAACATCCAACAAGCATAATGCATTCAAGAACACAAATCGCGTTTATTTGTACTCTATAGAGACGTCCTTCGGACAATCACAAAATAGCACACTAAAATAACACAGTACCCAATCACAGCCAAGGCTTTTCTTGGTGGGAAATGTGATCTCAAGGTCAACTAATCGGTCCATGAATGAAAGCCAAAATATAGACATTTATTAAGCGAGTTCTGGGGATCTAACATCCCCAACACATCTGCAACCGTGAAAGAACCGGTGATACACTTAAAATGCCGATGCATATCATCAAGTGTCGCAGTCACATAACTTACACTATCAGAAAAGAACAACGCTTTCTTAAAGAAGAGACATTTAGTTTGTTACGTTATCGTTGATCGCTTAACTATTCGTTGTAAACTATCTCAAAAATCCTTTATATGGATCATTTAAATTACGTTGTGTCCATATGAGTGTCTGACTTGACAATAAAAACCACTGACCAATGAAATAACACACATTTACAAAACAGGTGAATCAGTTCACATATTTATTTAAGCCAACTATAGGTGAGACCATTAAAAGCTTGAGCAAAACTACATTAGGAATAAATTAAGCTGGATACATGTTGATACATTTCCATGGTCAATTTCGTAACAGTTAGATTCTATCATTACTATAGATGGCTTATGAAAATTGATATATCCCATAGTTAACAAACCATGGGCCGACCCTAATTAGACAACCAATGAAAACCGGGAGGCTTTGAACACTTATTTCATCATGCTATGGGATTTTTCCGTAGCGCTCATCAACAGTTTCACAGGAGATAGAACCTACAGTCTTAGGACTCATGAAGGGTTCTTAAACTTTAGACGAATGAGCTGGTATCCTTCAATGGTTCTCGTTTAATTTACCCAACAAGCGTATACGATGTGGACGGAGCAATTAAACGAAGTCTGATAAGTACACCACTAGATGCTGGTTTAGCAGTTTAGAGGTTAACCGCTTGCTTTGAGATCTGAAGATGCTGAGGTTCGATTCTCCATCGGAACATTGACAAGCAATTTCGACGACTCTTATACTAGGATGACACAACTGTGCAATGCTTCCTGTTCTTCGAATGACTGTCTAACGTCATCCAGTAATGAAAACACTATGAGGTTAGAATGTAGTCTACAAAGTGTACATAGTTGTGAAAAAAAACCCTGTTTAAATATAACCATTATTCAATATTTTTTCCAATAATTGTTAAATGAGTAACACGAAAATATATCAAACAATTATAGAGATAACCCATAATCATCTAACCTGAATAGTTGAGGTAAAAGAGTTTGAAATCTATCGATCAATTTAAATCGATCATTGACATAATTACTTTCTTTCTGTGAATGGACTAATTTTTCACCAAATGGTTTACATTTTTCAGATATTTTTTCCAATTCTGTAATTACAGATCGTCTGGAACAATAACGATTTAAACCATCATTTAAATCAAAACATGTTCTAACCTATAGATTGAATAAAGATTAATTAAATAGCCATATATAACTTGATATGGTTAGATTCAAAACACAAGATAAATATGCATACATAACACACAAAAAACTAATTCATCGACATCCAAATTGTGAACAGACAAATTACTGAATCATATTTCAATTACATTTTTAGTTTAATTAGAAGTGAGACAAGATGAAATCAAATTTGTTTGCAAATCCTGTTTTATCAGTGTAATTAATTCTAACCATTGTATCAATGCCCTCAGTTATGGTCATATACTTATATACATATAGGAAAGTGAAATGCAGAAATCTTAACAGTGATAGAACTAAGATATGACAAGACTAAATTTCTTCAATCCTGAAGAACATTCAGTATTGGCTTGTGATAAAAGGCATCCTTAAATTGTACTGTACAAGCACTGAGATAAACCACTTGCGTAAATCCATTTTATTCATTGTTATGGTTTGTTCCCTATGGGTTTGTAGTGAAACACTTCTACGAAGAAAATGCGATTGGCGAAAATAAGCATTTATTATTGTACTCGTTTTGTTTAATTGTACCAAAAACACTTAGTTGCGCGCAACGTTCTTTTTCGCGTTGCTACCATCTCTCATAAATTGCTGCTCGATGTAACGCCTACTTTCTCCTTCATATACATTCTCAAACCTGTATTTATTTCTAAAATTGGTGACGGGATAGTAACGAGTATTTAGTAGTGATCATAGTTAATCTCGACTCGGTCACCACTAAAGGTTAAACCATGGATCACGTTAAAGAAGTTAGGCATCTAGCATAGAAATTTATCAATTAGCGGATTTATGTAAAATTGTTTAGACTAAAACTTGTAGAAATATTCAAACATTTCTCCTTATGACGTTTTAGACAAACATAGACACATAAAAATACATGACTCTTGTCTAAAATTCTAAACAGTTTCTATATATTTGCATTAAAAAAACATACGACTGGGAAAAATTGTCTGATTAGTAATATGTTTCCAAATTAATATAGGGCTCTTTTTGTTCTCATGCACAACTAAACTACTTTACAATTCATCAAACCTTATGATAGATTATGTGAAGTTCGTTTGAAAAAAAATTTGGTTTTTTCAGAATTTCGGTAAGTTACATCACAGACTGATAGTAAACGGAAAAAAATTGTAATTACTGGACAATGGTTGTTTCATCTTAGAATTGAGCTTACAGAAAGTGAACCACTACAACTTCATCATCGGATAAAAACTCATTTCAACTAAAAGTCACTTTTTAGAATTGATAATTCAATCATTTTATTTATCGGCAATTTTGGCTTGTTTCATAGCTTCCGTTTTTTACAAGCGCTTCCAAACATAAGATAATAATGAAACTTACTTGAAATAATTCAAATTAAGTTATGGTTGCTTTTTTAAACAACCTCTAGTAAACACTATCGAATAAACAAATGTGAAATAAAAATATTAAAAAAAACTATTACTATTCAAACTCTATCGTTAAAGTTGATTGAGGAGAATGATTCTTAGGTTTATTCACAGTTATACTAACAAGCACAGACTAGTGTACTTAATTTTAAGCTACACACTAAATGTGTGGATTAACGATACTACTTGGTTGTCAAAACTGAAAAAGACAAACTGGAGTTTGAACTTGAGAAGTAGTGGTTGAAAGTCAAGCGTCTTAACCAGCGAATGATTCAGCGTTCCACTCTGAAAATACTGAGGCACCTACATAAAACGTTAGTACACCAATAGAAAAGTAAATCAATCTGATTGACATGAAACTTCCAAATTCTACTTTATCGCAATTTTTCCAACAAATCGTGGAGCTCTGTATTATCAGACATACAAAATGAAGAAAAACACTGTATGTTTTATGAAGATACCTTACCCTGGAAGATCGACGTTTTTCAAGTCCAGCAGCAATAGTAGTTAAATCATCATTCGATGCCTCAGTAGTTAAATCACCTAAATCATCTTTTATTGTATCACATACAACGTCAACATTTGAAACTTTTTCAATGGTCAAATTTACAGTATGATCGATATTCTCATTTAATTGTTCAGTAGGTATTGAATTAACAGAAGTTGTGGATGTTGCAACAAGGTTATTTGACATTTCACTTATCCCATTTGAAGGTGGTGGTGAGTCAAAATTCAATAAATCTTTGCATAACAATGATGACAAATCAAGAACTGAATTAATTGTCTAAATAAAAAAATTAATTAATTAGATCATTTTAACTAGTGTGTTAACATTTACTCAAATTAAAAAAATCGATTTCATGCTAAAAACACATCAACTGAAAAATCATCAAAAGCCATTGATCAGTTCAATCATAAGCAAAGTAGAATTTGGGACAAATATAAGTTTAAGTTGCCACATGTTAGTGAGACATAGGCGGAATTAAAGCATGACTACATTGCTGAGCGCTGATTGGCTAACTTCCTATCCAATCAGCGCCTGATCGATTCTTGGAGAACAGGGTAAAAAATTCTCGTGTTGTTAGCTGTATGCTGATTGGCTAAATCTAATCCAGTCGATCACGTGAATTACTATTTAGAAGCTTCTCATGTAAGTACTATAAAGAAACTAACGTTGTATCCATTTTCGCCTTCGCCTTCGGCTTCTTATTCCATTTAACCTTGCTATTCGGAATATAATCTTTTCCTGTTCACCGTGTTTTTCGATTCTTTGGAACTCGTCTAGTGTATTGTGGTCAGAGAATACTAAGCAATAGGAATTAGCTGGGAATTATTTAAGCAAGCGTTACAACACCACACGATAAAGGGACAGAGCAATGAAATTATAAAGACAAATGCTTGAGCAATTTGGCAGCAGTTACAGTATTGGCGGTAGTAGAAAAATAGAGTGCAAATAATATAATTAAAGAGAAGTGAATCGATAAGTTAAAAAATTATGAGACAATTTTCAAACCTAAGATCAAAGAAAGGCAAGTCGTAAATGTATCTGTGTCTTTTCGACTGATTCTTACTTAACCAAGTCTTTTTCAAAACCACCAATACTGCTACTACCTCTACTACTCTAGCATTCGGCTTGATAACTTCATCTCTCTTTGCTAATGTTGTATGGCGATCTGAACTGATATATGTACGTATGTTGCAACTAACTGACTGACATGTCAACCAATGTCCAGAATCATTGATTGTGGTTATTATGCACACTCTGAACCGAACGATATGGCTCAGTCAAAAGTCAGTGACTTTAGGAATTTTCCATGTATTAGATTGGCCACCACTTGATTTCTTCTAACTGACTACTACATCAACCAACATTTCATACGGGATAAGAAGTGTATATAGTGTATACAAAATAAGTAGTAGAATACATTCGATTCAGTCAAACAAGTATAATATTGAAATTTCCCAACGGTTACGTAACTAAATAGTTATCTAAGACCCTCTTAATTTAGTGAACTCCCTTATGACAACAGTCTATGATAAAACGTATCTTTTTAGGAAATAATTTAGAAAAACAAATAAAGAATTTTGAAAAATTAAACTCTGAACAATATCTGTTATACTAAAAAACGTTAAAATGGTCACAACAACCAGATAATAACGTTCAATTATTATTTTACTGGACATAAAGAGATTGTACACCAAAGTTCTGATAGGAAAATTTTTTTAAAAAAAAGTACTTACTGATTCAGAGTTTAAACGATCATACATTGTTATAGTTTCTTGAATTAAATGCAACCAACTGATAAATAAAAACAGAAAATAGAAATGTTAAAATATATAATCATCACCATTATCACAGGACAATAAGTTTCTGTAGATTACTCCAAATGAAGATTGTTTACGTACTAGACTGACTGTATCTAAATCATCAAATGACAGCTGCAAGTAGTTCAGCATAATCATTTCGTTATAGAATTTCTAAAACATACGGACCAAACACTAAATCGAAAGTGAAACAGTGATTCATTCATAACAGCTGTTATGGGAGGGACTTATATTAAACTATAAGATTTTGTCAACTAACAATATCTGACTGAAACGTCAATACTGTTGGGGACGTTAGATACCCTAGAACTCATTTGGAAAGGTCCTAATTTTGTAATTTTATTTTGAAATTTTGAATTTCCATGTCTTCGTGCCAGTTCAGCTCGGAAAATTTTTGACTGTCATTAGTTAATGGATTATTTTAGTAAGCTATTTTATGGCTCTCGCAAGAGCGTTTCTATTGTGGTGCGAGTTCCTTATAAGTAGTATATGACGTGAGTGTAAACGTAATGTCTGGCAGCAGAAGATGGGGAAAGATCAAGAAAGGAAGAGTTAGAAAACAATGGAATTTTTATGAAACGCATGAATAGTGACAATCGATTGATGTTTTGCAACAGGAACAGTCCAGTTCCATATGATGAACTGATATTTTGCAAATTAACGATTTACGATATGGTTTTCCGATTTTACTGAGTAACTCTGTAATTTTCGTTAAATACAATTCGGTTGCCCCACCTGTGTTCTCGTTCACTACACTATCATTGTATAAATAAGCTTCATTTGCGTGCTTAGACACCTCCTGTTTTCTGGGAGCTTGTAGAATACATTCTCTACGCTTCATTCAAGACTTTTTGATCTAGTTAACCTGGCTGGGGACAAACGGATTGGGATAGCCTATCGTGTCACTCAGTCATTGCTCTTCGTTCCGTTTACCGTGTAAGGTGAACTCGTTATAACATTCAAGCATATCAATTGACGAGCATATCAAATACATATTTGCAACAATGTTGGATAATTATTGATTATATCGATTAGCTGACTATAATTTCTATAAGAGAGCATTTATCCTGATACATAATCAATGGAAAGTAAAGAAAACTATTCCACCGACCTTAAATGTTTCAATGGTGATGGAAATTTAACCGTTGGAATTGTTCGTGGCTCTGCTTCAGCATCTTTTTGTTTACGATATATTATACGAATATTTTGTATTTCTTGATCAATCTAAACAAAACAAATACAGTGAACAATATGAAAATATAAAGGGATAGTCAACAATAACTGATATCAAATTTCCACTTTGTCTTTTGTTGGGGATGTTAGATCCCCAGAACTCGCTTCATAAATTTCTTTATTTTGGATTTACTTCATGGACCGATCTGTTGACCTTGAGATCAAATTTCCCACCAAGAAAATCCTTGGCTGTGATTGGCTACTGTGTCATTTTAGTGTGCTATTTTTGTGACTCTCTCAAGGACGTCTCTATAGAGCATAAATAAACGCGATTTGAGTGCTTGGGTTCATTTTGTGCTGGCTGGATGTTTGTAGAATGCAATTTCTACTCTATATCAAGACTTCTTGATACATTTTGGTCAAGGGATCACAGTAGCCTACCTGGACGCTGGTTCATTGTTTTGTTCACGTTATTCGACTAAGGTGAACTCGTAATAGTTTAAGCGTACCTAGAGACGAGCGTAATATCTTCAATAGACAGGCAGTTACAGTTATTCATAATCAATGTAGAACCTGGCATATGTCGGCATGATTTCAAGTTGCAACATTATATCAGCACAAAGAGATGAAATTATTGAGAGATAGCAAACTAGTAGGATGAGGAGGAGCAGAAGAGGTGTACCAGTGATAGCAAAAACGACTAAATATAAAGGATATGACTCAATAAAGCAAAAGAAAGGATTCACAAGATAAGATGTACAAAATAATTTTGAAATTTATGACCTAAAGGAAGACAAAGAATGAGTGCATCTACGTTACTGGGATCGATTCCGAACCATGTTAACGTACAACTCTAACAGAGAAAATCCTAATCAAGTAAGTAGTGAGAATGAAAACTGTTGTTGTTTCATGACAATTCAGTTTGAGTGATGTTGCTTAAGACGTTCAACAATAAATTGCGATTCTTATACAAACTGAAGTAAATAAATTTACACTTCGTACTGCCCTCAATCAATTTTATTATAAATAAAACGTACAAGCATAAATTTTAGAAAAAAAAATGTTAACTAGACATTTAAAATATCAAATTTACCCGTTCAGCTTCTTCACATGTTGGTAATTGACTTAAAATATCTGGTCTAAATTATATGTACAAAATTAGAAAAATAACTATTACCTTTGTAAGAATAAATCCTGAATCATTTCATGTAAACTTGGTTGAATAGTAAGAATTCGATTGATAAAATAAACTGCATATTCACTAAATGGATCTATTTGTAGCATACGAACGGATAATTCTAGACAAACTAAATGGAAACATGCATGAATTATTGAAACATTGATCAATAAGTTTGTTTAAGAAAAAAAAGTAAAGTATTGGAAATAAACTCTACAAAACTAACTTGCATTCAGTGAGATGTTTTCAGCTTTTGTAATTTGTTGTTATTGGGAGTAAATTACAAAAGTTTAAAACATCTCACAGAATGCAAGTTAATTTTGTAAAGTACTACGGAGTCAGTAACTAAGCGGATGATAACATGGTAGGGTTTGAAGCAGACGGTACTGGGTTTGATACATAGGAGAAATTTATGCTTTGTGATCCAGTTACATTCATCCAACGAGTCCTAAATAGGATGAGACACAAATCTTAAATTCTATTGCTAGCCATCATCTATCTCCGCTTGAAAACATTTAGTACGTCTTATATCCATAGAGTTCTATCAAAAAGGCACACGCATCAATACGAGAATGTTTCCGCACCACTTTTCTGATGTTTCTTCCATACCCTATCTCAACAAGTGACGCTGGTTGGCGAAGGAATAAGTTTAAATATAATCAGAAGGGAAATCAAGTCAGTTTATGAAGTGACTGACAATTAGCTTGAATCATATCACTAGACAAACTACCAAGTTGGGATCTGCGTGAAAATCTTGACCATTTGTTAGAGACCTCATAACTTGACATAACTTGAAATCAGTAAAAATAGATCGAATGCAGTAACCCTCAACTTTTTCTTAGATTCATAATGTTAAATGAATACCACATCCCCCGACTTTAGTCTTCCTAATCGTCTTCTTAATATTTAGTCTTTTTTTTAGCTACGACTAATACTACTAACATTTCAAATTATTTGTCACTTATCTTGTTAATGTTATCTCCTTACTGTATTGATTTGATATGGCGACTTGTCCCAGTACGCATATGTGCTAAATACTACAATAATTGCAAATGACATGAGATGAATCAACAAAACATACGTATGCATCCACATACAAACAGATTCATCGAACTGATTAAATCTTATATTGAATCATTCAGTCTACTAATAACAATCGTTTGTTTGATATTTTAATTGATCGTGCCAATCTAAATTTTCCAACAAGAAAATAGATGCCAGCAATAAGTAGACATAAATGTCTTGTGCAGTATAAAAAAAAACTTTAACACATAACAATCAACAACAACAAATGATAAACAGATGAAAACGTATGAATAAAAAACCCCACATATCACATACTTTCTAATTCAGAAACTGCAAAATACAATGGTAGAGCTAATTGCAATGCAAGTGGATGCGATGGCCGTTTTGATAAGATATGATCTATTGAATTGATAGCAACTTCAAAGAAACCTGAACGAATAGCAGCACGAGCTAGACGTATCCAAAGACTTAAATCATTTGAATCAATTTGTAAAGCCTAAAAAAAGTGAGAAAATAAAAAATAAGGAGAAGATTAAATTACTGAATAAAATTATTAGGAATAAGATTGAATTATGTAATAAGAGGAGTGAGTGTTAGATTCAGTAGAATAATGGCATCTGAGGTAGACCAACATGGGAAGATAGTTTTGGCTTCCCAGAATATAAATAATGACACTACTGTAAATAATAATAATCGACTTGGCTTTAAAAAAACACTCAAAGTGATATACTTCGTAAAATCTCTCAGCATGGACAAATACAAAAAATCACTACTTCAATACTCCTGGATAAGAGCGTACTAATCAATAAAACACGTAGTTAACTTACGCTCCATCAACGAAATACAAAAAACCATATGATTTAAGAAATTAGCCACTCATAAGTAATACAGTTATAAATACAGAAAAAGTTGAAGAATTCGATAGTCTTTATTTTACAATTTGAGTCTTTCACGGTGTGGGTAGCCGGGAAGTGATATCCGCCCTCATTTCCGTAACAATATACGGGACCAAATTGGTCAAAATCAAATCCTGCCTGTGCTTATGTGGTATGGCAACCTGAACTGACGTACGCACGTACGTACGAGGTTCTACGTTGCAACTGACTGACAGCTTAAATAATCATCAATACGACGATCAGTAACGTCATATTGATCAATTAGTTATTCCGAGATGAATATGTTAAGAAAATCTCTAACATGTAATCAATGATAATGACGAGTCAAAAAATGAAAACAGACAGACTACTGAAAAACCTATGAGTAATTATAGTGACATTCACACTGTTGAGTAATAAAATACTTGAAAGTAATGTAAGTGTACCTTATAACACATAATATTTAAAGTTTCGCATATTAAACCCAGTACATAAATATAAATCTCAGCAGAACAAAAGGTACACAACATATATATTAGTGAAACTTCAGACATCTTCAGCACTAGCTTTTCATTCTAAATAAACATAACTGAACACGTTAAATAATTCATTCTTTTATTTGAAATGCTTAAGAACAGAATAGAAATCAGCATTATTAATGCTGAAAATGTAATTATTGTAGTTAAAACCAGGTCTAACTAAGTACTAAGCATTAAGCACCCTAACCTTATATACATTACAAATATTACCACCGAGTCATTTTATATAATATGGAACTTAACAACTGTCTCACCATAAATCAGAAGGCTTTTCCTAAGTGAATGAAAAAAAATTACTACTACATTTCAAAAGCATGTCAGTCAGTCAGTCAGATGCAACGTAGAACTTCGTACGTAAGTACATCAGTTCATGTTGCCATACCACATTACAACAAAGATATAGTTGTCAATTCAATTCCCATAGTAGTAGAGGTAGTAAGGGAATTAGAAGTAATCGGAGAGGTTAGGGTTAGAAGATACTATTCAAGAAGTATGATTCAGTGAGAAAAGTTTAGAAAGTCAAAACTAGAGGTGTTGAAGAATCCAGAAGATTACGATTTTAGAGAACACAGAGAATAAATGCACCGGCGCCATTCAGAACGATTTTGAGCCATGTCATTCAAGGTCTCTAACCATCGATTATTATCATCTCGCGGACCCAAACCAGGTAATCGACAATTACCGACATGGCTAAGTCCACTAGTCAATGACTTCATGGATTTCTGCCATGTTTTGGTCTGGCCGCCGCTAACTTTCTTCCAACCTATTCCTACACTACAAAACAGAGTTCGTCGAGGCAGTCGGTGGTTCGGCATACGCAAGACATGTCCCAACCACCTCAACTGATGAAGTTTCACCACTTCATCGATTGATCTGCCATCCTTGCCTAGTACTCGTTTCCTACTCGTTTCAAAAGCATGTACCTAATCGAAATTTACATTACATGAAATCATACACACTAACAATTAATGTGAATAATAAAATTGTATAAAACAATAGCATGTATATATATATATATTCAAAGAACTTATTATGATTATCATTTTATTACCTTACTAAGTAAATCAATACCTTCAGCATCTTTATTTAATTTGAAGTAAATACCTCCAAGTAATTTACAACTAGCAAATTTTATAGATGCTAATTGTGGTGTTAATTTCTACAAGGTAAAAAGAAAAAAAAAACATTTAAAATAACTTGTTATTGAAGCATTTCGTCTAAAACAACACACACACACACACACCTTATTTATCACTAATTTGATATAAAAATGCAACAATTTAAAGTTTTTATGATAAAAAGTTTGAAATTTCACCACTAATTCAATTTTAGACTCAAAAAGAATCTTATAACATCAAAGTAGATTGTTTGTTCGTTGAAACTTTTAAAGGTCACTTTCAAGAATAAAATCAATAGCCTTTACTGAGTAATAACAATCTACTCGTCCAAACTTGAAAATCATACCAGACAACGAAGTAAATGTTAGATTATCAGCTTAATAGTTAAGTGTGAAAAACTTCTTATTTATATACGTTTTTTAAAATGGGAAGAATTTTTTAGTGATGCTGTATAATTTGGGCAATGACACACTGAATTTTATAACTAAACATTAACTATTTATACTTCACAACTCTCAAGGCTAAGATAACTGTTGATTAATTTCATAATGCGTAAATGATTCAATGTAGTGAAGTTTCGTTCACTGAGTTGGAAGTTTTATTTGTGGAGCTTTCATTGTTCTTCTCCGATGGAAAGTAGATGATTCAGTTTCACAATTGATTGGAAAAATGAAGATGATATCACTTTCATTCAAAAATTTGAGTGGTACGGGTACATTTTTCGAAATTTCCATTCATTCTACTGACAATTGTCATGCAGTATTAAGCCTTAATTTAATACCTCTTGGTTATACATATATATATCTTATCACTATTGATAGTATGATGTAGATTTATACGTGTGACAACTAGATAATATTGTGACATGTTACACTACTAACCCTGTATATCATTAGTGTATAATAAAGACGTATCAACAATGAAAATAATACTTTTCAGTAAACAGTATTAACTTGAAATAATATGAACAGGCACTAGATATTAAACAATCCTGAGTGATCATTAAATTTTAGTGAATAAATAAGCTTTGTGCGATACGTATGATTTTTCATCAAGCTTAACGATAAAGTTATATTTAAAAATACTTATAGAAGGAAATAAATCAACTAATGTTGATGCTTGTGCAGAAGCATTGAAATTTCATCAGTTCAGGTGGTTGGGACATGTGTTACGTACGGCTAACCACCGACTGCCACGACGATCTATGTTTTGTGGTGTAGGAAGTTAGAGGCGGCCAGACCAAAACATGGCAGAAATCCATGAAGTCACTGACAAGTGGACTGAGTCATGTTGGTAGATGTAGGCTACCTGGTTGGGGTCTGCGAGACGAAAGTCACCGATGGTTAGAGACCTTGAATGACATGGCTCAGAATTGTTTACAATGGCGCCGGTGCATCCACTCTTTGTGTTCTCTTTAATTCTAACCTTCTGAATTCCTCATAATCTCTATCTTTCTCCTCCTAAATTTATCTCACTGAATTATACTTTTCGAATCATATCTTTGCTCCTTAATCTTCTCCATTACTGCTAATAATGCTACTATCACCATCACTCTTGGATTTGAACTGACAGTTACGTCTCTGTGCTGATGTGGTATGGCAACCTGAACTGATGTACTTATGTACGAAGCTCTGCGTTGTATCTGTCTGTCTGTCTTCTGCAGAATATATATATAGTTTTTAAACATATCATACATACAAAACTGCTTTATATATCAACGCACCTTCGAGATAACGATATAAAACCTTACTAACAAGTTCCAAATAGCACGAAACCTACATCAAGCAGGATTTCCCGTCCTATACCTCTGACAACCTTACATATGCTAAACCAAATGACGGTCGTCAGAGGATAATGAAAATAGGTTTTGAATAGAAATTACTGTTGCTATTGATTGTATTTAGGGCCGCGTAATGTGAGTCACTCAGACGAGATTTGAAAACTTGAATCAAATTAAATTATTCCGTACAAATAAAAATATACAAGGACAGCAACTACTGAAACACATTTTGTGCATAGCTATAAAAAGCAGCACAAAAATAGCTACCTGCATCCATAGACTCATAAGCTGCTAAACTTGTGGAAGGATACTAGTTCACCCGCTACTGTACACAAGGTGAAAGAAATGAAGTTACAGTTTTTTGATTAGGTGACTTATAGTCAACTAGATGCAAGCTTTTTAAATCATCTTGCTTAGAGAAGTATGAACACTCTAAAGTTTTACTTATTATACACTTCACTCTTTCTAGTTTTTTTAACATTTTTATACAGTAACGTATACATATTTAGCAATTCAGAACACTATTATCTACAACTCATTTACTAGGTGCAGATTTGTGTTCTCAGCTCCCAGCCATATTGTGGATGCCACTGGTATTAACTCCAAACCAAACTAAAGACCTTCAAGGTCAACACCTGACTGCTGATAAATAAAGCATTACATGAGAACCAGAAAGGTAAGATCACTTGCAATAGCTAATTACTCTCACAAAACATTACTAACGTATAACTAATGTGATCGTGTCAAACGATTACAAGTCTATCAAGACCAGTCTCTTGGCACAAACCCAATAGTTTATGTTTTAAAACAGATGCATTCAAAAGTCATTAAAAAAAACCGATTTTAATGTGAAAGCGAGCATACTTCAAGTCCGAATAGCTTAAAATAATTACCAAGTTAATGGGGATACTAAAAACAACTGACAGATACGGGAAATTACTTAAACCAAAATGACACGAGAAGTTCTAACACAAACTTTAGAAAAACTCACATTGCTTTCAATGATAAAGCTGTTTAGAATGCTTTCCAAGACAGGTCTGGCCTTGGATTCATCATCAGAACAATCAGATGAACAAAGACGTAAGGCGATATGATACAGTTTGATTACTCTAACCTGAACAATTAAAAATGAAAATATACGAACAAAAACAGTTGTGAATGCAGGACATACGGCACTACTAAATTACACGGTAAACATAATTAAACTACTAAGACTGTCTGCTAGTCCAACATATATCAAATCGAAACGCAACACTAAATTAAGTATATATGGACATGAAATAAAAAACATTTAAACATCTGGCTATTAACTCATATCTACTAGAAATAATAGTGATCAATAATAATTACCTCTTCTGATTCTCGTGTCTTGGTGGGTTTTAAAAGGCTACTGACATTTGCTGATAGTTCTCCCAAGTTTGGAGACTTACAAACGTTTGGAATAGTTACGGTTTGAGAAACTGCTATGTGAGAATCATTGGACAGAACGTGACCGACTTTTTCAGACAAGTGCGAATTTACATGCTCATTTGCACTGAAGCTTGAACTGTTCGAAGAATCCAAGTCACACAGTGGATGCTTGTCCGAGCAATTTAGCGCTTTGAATGAAAACTTTAAAAGGCAAAATAAAAGTGGTTGTACATGTCTGAAGTATGAGAACAAGTATAAAAACGAAATAAATACTTTAATCCAAATATCCGCTTGTCGGTGTTTTGTAAAAGAGTAAAAATTCTACAATTAAAAGAAGTGCCTTGTTGTCTTAGTGCAATGTACGGTAGTTATATTCAGTTTACGAATTTTTTGAAAAATGAAATTTTGATCGGCATCAACAAATGGATAATCAGTCCTCAAATTAAACTAGTTTACAGGGACAACAAAATTTGAATATTTGGATGGGTTTAAAAATTGTCTATTTGCGCAGAGATTCGTTTGCTTGACGAAAATAAACATACCGTCGGTATTAGTACGTTACCATGAAAAAATACTGATAGCTGATATCAATCAGAAAGAATATTTGATAGTTCAAAGCAAATGATAATGTTAACAATCAGCAGTCCTGTTACTAGCGTTTCTGGTCTGACAAATGGACTAATTACCGAAAGCTCAATGATATCAGAACAATCAGGTTATATACATTATATATTTGTCAAGCAGTAACATAAATTGGCGATTGAATCGCTAGGGATATGCAAACGGATAGTAAAGCACATTTCGCATGCAGAACTCTATTCGACTGTAGATAACGATACAATATATCACTTATATTCACTGAAACTGATCTACGGCAGCAGCATGATCCTAAACACTTGGCGATCCACATATGACATCAACAGTTGCGAATAAATACTTTAGGACACTAGCCAGGAATAAACTGGTTTATTCCTCTTGTGATAAATAGGATAAGAAATAAGATAAAATTAAATTAGACAAAAAAGGTAGGGCCAAGGTCACGTTTAGAGTAAACGCGCGACCTTGAAATTAATTCAGCCGCATTTCTAAAACTATTCTTCGTTTATCGTAAAGCTCAGACTCTCAACTCGAGTTTAAAGGACGTTTTATTATTCTGTGCATGCTAAATAGTTTTTCTTGAGTGAATCTAACTGCATGATTTGAAAATCGGAAGTGAATTTTTATGTTTTGAGACATCAGATTTTCATTGTCTTAACTGTACCAGAATTCATAATTTAACCCATATAAAAACTTTTTATCACTTTGTGTGTTATGAAACATCTTTTTTGCACGTTTTGCCTAGTTTTTGCCAACTGGATGTTGTGCTTATTGGTATGTAATCCCTGCAGATAAGCTGCTTGAAAGAAACAAAAGTGAAATCGAAAAACGAGCAATAAGGTATGTGGATATATTACCTGAGCACTTTTTAACTGTTCATAGTGGAGCAGAACAAATAATGGCAAGTGATTAGATAAATCTATCGCCGAGTGCTGCAATTAAAACTAATTGTAGTAAGATAGTCTTCAAATTAGGAACAGTAATGCAATAAAGAACAATGAGCTGTTATATATATATTAAGATGGATAGAGTCCGAAAAATAGTAGCTGAAGTAAGAAACTGGATATCAGCATGAACAGTAAAGTTTATGGAGAACATTTTCAGTAGTGGTCGAGTTGAGATTGACTTTAATCACAACTAAATACTAAATACGAACCCGTCAACGAGAAGGTATATAAATCCATGGTAAAAACATATTTACTGGCGATTTCGTTGTGTAGAAGGTATGCCGAAATCGAGCTAGAAAAGTGAGGCGCAATCACAGAGACAATGGAGCGAAGATAGCAGCAGCACAAACAGAATGTTTAGCGCGTAAAGAGCGTTACAAACAAAAAGTACAGTTAAAAGATCACTGGTACAATTGGATATAATAGTAAATGTTTCTATCAAACCAATAGCGTTCTCTTCATAAAAGTGGATCCACTACACGTTAATGAGTATATCGTCCACTGCCTAGCCTTTCTCCATAAAATTCCAAGTTTTAGGTCATACTGTGAGAGCCTGAGTAAGCATGTTGCTGGTTAACTTGGCAGAAAAAATAGAATTAGATTATTTGAA